AGTATAGTTTTTCATAGTATTCTAATGTTAGCTTTTTTATTTTAGTTGGGTCTGTTGTGATGTTACCTGATTCATCTCTTATTTGGATTATTTGTGTCTTCTCTCTCTTTTCTTTTGTGAGTTTTGCTAGTGGAGTATCGATTTTGTTGACCTTTTCAAAGAACCAACTCCTAGTTTTGTTGATAAAAATTAATTATCTTGATCTATGCCTATTATTATACTTTCTTTTCAAGTTTCCATTGAATCTTACCTATTTCTTTATTCTCCTATTCACCCACTAACATCTGTTATCGTAGTAAATTTCATTCTTCCCCCTTTTTGCACTGCATTCACCTTTTAAACATTCACACACATCTTGCTCAGTTATCCTTCCATTTTTACAATAATGGTCTTATTCTGCTTTTTAAAATTCATTTTAATGAAAGTTTACAGAGACTTAGGGTTTCCATTCATTCATTGTTGCACTTTTCTCCCTGTCCACCCCTCCGCTCCAATTTGCTCTTCTCTTTGAAAAGTATCAATATCGACAATTATCTACAGATAAATGGAGAAAATAAATTGGCATATCCATACAAGGGAATATTATTCAGTCATAAGAAGAAATGAAGTTCTCATATGTCCTATAAAATGGAGGAAGGCCCTCTATGAGGTGGATTGATTCAGTGACTGGGATAATTGAGTTGGGAGTGTCAGAGACAGTGCGATTGACACAGGACAGAGCAGAGTTTAGGGCTGTTGTACATAGGGTCGCTATGAGTCGCAGGCGACTCAACGGCACATAACAACAACAACAACAAGTAAAATAAACTAGATAAAAAAGGATAAACATTTTATTATTCTACTTCCATGAAATATCTAAAATATGTAAATTCACGGAGGCAGAAAGATTAAAGAGGACCAGAGGTTACGAGGAAGTGAAAATGAGAAACTATTGTTTAATGGATAGAGTTCTGTTTGTTTTAATAGTAAAAGGTGATGATGGGTGTACACTGTAGTGGGCATAATTATTACCTTTGAATATTGTACACTCAAAAATGGTTAAAATGCAAATTTTAAATTATCTGTATTTTACCACAATTTTTAAAAATTTAATTGTGTAAGAGGACAAAATATACTTAAATTCATTTTTATATAGAGTATGACTGAATTATCTGATGTTCAGTAAAAGATTGTGTTGTTCCAGAGGGTGATGGTGTTTGTAGGAAAGATTAGTACAGGAGAATAAAGAATGAGTAAGATGTCAGTTAGCATTTAAAACAGCCAGAGAAAGGACTACAAGGGGCAGAATGAGTAAGGAAGAGAGAGTGGGAGAGATAAGTGTGTGTTGAAAAACATATTTGAAGACATTGAATATTACCTGACAAATTGTAAGTCCTCATCCATTATTTGCCAATGAATAAATTCTGATTGGATGAATGAAGTCACAACTTGCCGAGAACTGGTATGTCCTTTATTCAGACTGGAAAGTAGGACATAGCTTGGTGTTCTATGTAGTCACTTTAATCTGCTTCTTGTTGACTTTCTACTTAATTTTTCTTTTTAGATTTAACCAACTGGTAAGTTCAGCTCAAGTGATGCACCTTAACCAGGCATACACTGAGAATGACTTGATCCTAATAAGATCCAAAGTTTCCATGATTGTCAAGCTCTATCTACAATCTGAGATTCCTCCAAAACTCAGGGTAAGGAGGACTTCCACTCTGCTTTGGCATCCCCTCCATAAGTAACATGAAAGCTCATGATCACCTTAAGTCCTGAGCAAACCAGTTATATTTTACCTAGTCTCCCATGAAATCATCTCCTGCCTTCCAAAGAAGGGGTGGTTTTGAGAGTCCTGAGGGTCAAGAGAGGTTTGTTGCCTTCCCCAGAACCCCTGCCAGTGACGAGTTCTTACTCTGTGGGTAGGTGAATATCTCTGAATCCCAGAAGGAAACCATCCTTGCTGCCATTCTGGAGGGGCACCTAGATCGGAGCATCTTCCACGGGGCTATCATGTCTCTCTTCCCGATCATTATGTACTTCTGGAAAAGGTAATTATAGTCTTTACCTGAGGTCCATAAGGTTAGGAAAGTATGTTTAATATTTTAGATCATTTTCTTTCATCATCTAGACTTCTGTTTTATAGTCTACTGTTTCATGAAAGATGTCATGCAGTTTTAGATTTTGCCTCTTCCCTTCTTTATTCATTGCTATCTGTTATTCACCTTCTCACACTATAATGAATCAGTAGATGAAAGGCAGCACAAGACTTGAAATAAAAATGGCTGGCAATTAAAACACCTCTCCTCTCGTTATGCTTGACTGGAACTTAGGTGTAAGTTTCTCTTAGGCCATGGTTTGTTACCTCAGAGTGAGAGTGAACAATGGCTATTTGGAGAGACAGGCTTAATATAACTGTGCTTGTGGGTGGAGGGAGGCGTAGCAGGTAAAAAAATAGGAAAGATCAGGTGGGGATCTGGAAAGACAGGGTAACAGAGGGCATAGTTTTGTAGTGATTAGTTTTATAAAGCATAATGAATGGGAATGATTGCAGGAAACGCAATGTGAATGAAGGATAGAATGAAACACAATATATACAAACTTTGTACGCAAACCAATATTTAAAAATAAAAGTAAACAAAGGGAGCTCTCATGGCCTAGTGGCAAGAGGCTGCACTGTAATCCCAGAGGTATGCAGTTCAAATTCACCAGATGCTTGGCTGGAGAAGGAGGAGTAATCTCCTGTGCCAGTCAAATCTGATCTGATGGTATACACATTAAAAAAAAATAAAATTTAAAAAATTTTTAAAAGTGAATAAAAATATTTTTATCTATAATGTCCCAAACCAAATAAATAAAACTTGTTGCTGTTGAGTCTTTTCAAGTCATAATGCCCTACGTGACAGAGTAGAACAGTGCCAGAGGGTTGCTAAGGCTGTAATCTTTACAGAAGCTAATTGCCACATCTTTCTTCCCCAGAGCTCCTAATGGTTTAAATTGGTGAGCACTTAAACCACTGTGCCACCAGGATTTCTATATAGTGCTCCAAGTCTCATAATAACCAAAGGAGACACAGGTGCTAGGTAGACTTGAACTAGAAATCTTCACCTTAATATAGAAATTGGGGGGGATTTTACGTCATATCTACCAAGGCTACAGTGCCATATTAAAATGTGGTAAGGAATATGACTCTGGTGGCACAGACTATAGGGAATTGTGTTACTAATCCAAAGAGAGCAACTCTAGTGGTTCAAATCCAGCAGTGGCTCCATAGGAGAAAGACGAGCAATCCGTTCCTGTACAATTTACAGTTTCCACAGCCTGCTGGAGAGTCAGCTATGAGTTGGTTCCAACTCAACAACAATGAAGGAGAATGAGAAGAAATACATGAGTCCCAAAACACAATAACAAAGATGAAACATAAAGCCAAAACATCTGCTGGCTAACTGCAACCATTGACCACTCGTTCTTAACCTGTAATGTCAAGGTTTGGGCTGAAAGACAAGGTCCAGGTTCTCCCAGCTGGTCATTTACTCCAAAATTCCTCTGGTTTTGCTGGTTTTCTGTTCTTCTCTTCTGCCTGGTAAATGGTGGTACCTTGGATGGTGATGATAAGAGGACAATAATAGAAACATTTCCCCAGACAAAGCCATCAGGATGTTGAGATTATTAGGAACTAGAATAGGTAATGACTAGAAACTAGATCTCTTGCTCTCCTGACGGTCATGAATGAAGTCTTGGCACACGGATAGATCCATAATGAGTAATGGGTAAAAAGAGAGACCCCAACTGTGACAGAGTAGGTTGCACCTAGTCTGTCTAGACAGCAAAGGGGAAGTCAGCAGTTGAGACAACTGGCACAAAAGGAGCTTAGGAAATAAAAAAGGATGTTGTTGTCATTGTTGTGTGTCATCAAGTCACCTGCAACTCATAGCGACTCTATGTATAACAGCTCTGAAGCCTGCCCTGTCCTGAGCCAGTCTCACTGACTCCAACACATCTACCCTCATTGCCCCAGTTACTGTATCAATCCATCTCATTAGGGGTCTTCCTCTCCTGCACTGTCGCTCCACCCTTTTGAGCATGATGTCCTTCTCCAAGGACTGATCTCTTCTGGCCATGTGTCCAAATATTTGAGATGGAGCTTCAAAATCCTAGCCTCCAAGGAGAAATTCAGTTTCACTCTTTCCGAGACAGACCTATTTGTTTTCTTGGCAGTCCATAGCATGTTCAAGATTCTTCTCCAGTACCACAACTCAAAGGCATCAATTCTTTCATCCTTAGTCATTGTCCAGCTCTCTGATGTAATTAGCAAATAATTAGGAAGACCATAGCTTGGATCAGGGGCACCTTAGTATCTATACTGACTGAGAGTAGAAGTTAAGTGAAGCAAGGAGGAAGGGATAAAGTATTCCAGAGCTTTTAGGGATTAACAATTCTCAAGTACAATTAGTACATAAGTCTCAGGGAAAGACTGTTAGAAATGAGAGGTGGGGATCATGGCTCTCAATGGGGACAGAATGGTAATCAAGGAACGAGCCCTAAGAAAAGGCCAGTCAGAAGCCATGGATGTATCAGGTAGGATTAAGATACCACAGCCTAATATTTACACAAACATCCTAGGCATGAACTCCACCTCAGGCATAGGACGTCAGAGTCTGTATAGGACGTCAGACTCTTTACAGACTCCAGTCACTAGTAGAGAAGAAAGTTTTAACATATTATCCATGCCTGGGACTTACTGACATCAGGTCTGGACAAAAAAGGAACTTCAGAGGAAGGATCCCTGACAGGCAGCACCCTGAAATCAGGATCCTTTGCTCTTCTCTGTTCTACACCCCACCATCTCTCTGAGCCTGGTCTCAACTTTTTTTCCCATTTCTCTGGTGTTTCTCTCCCTTAAGACAATGATTTTCTCCCAGTGACCAGAGCCATTCTTCTCACAGGTTTTGTTCTTGGAAAGTAAAACAAGTTTACTTACAGTCTGTGAAAAAGAAAGAGAAGATTGATAAGGATCAAAAACCTCCAAAACCCGTACTCAAGAGTTTTCCTGCTATTGGAGGTAAGCTCCACCATCACACAGTTCTATTCTCTAGAGAACAACAGTTGGGACTGGAGATTGAGAGGCCGGGGAGCCATCTGTCAGGTATCACCAAGGTTGCTTCTTGTGGGCATAGGCAAGGACATTCAAGTTACCTGTAGCTTGTAGTGGTGACAAGAAGGCACACCCCTTCCATGGACCACTCTCTGGAGTTAACTCCCAAGATTCTACTGAGCATGTCTCTTTCAGCCTAGAAGTGGGAAATCAGATGGTGATTTACTTTACTGTCGATTATGAAGCTCTCTGTTCTACTTAGCTCCATAAATGCCTCCATTTTTAATTATCTTTTTATTGTGACTTGAGTGAACATTTACAATCAAATTGGTTTACATTGTAGTGATTCATTCACATTATGTTTTATGGCATTGATTAAAATCTCCACATTCTAAGAACACTTTTCTTACTTCTTCTCTGTGTTTTCTATTTCCACTCATTCTTCTGTCTTGTCCCATTGGAATTATTGAGTATCTTCCTAACATTATTGATCATCTTTTTTTATGTCGTTGTTGTTGTTATGTGCCATTGAGTCGTTTTCAAGTCATAGTGACCCTATGAACAAGAGCTCTAAACCCTGCTCTATCCTGCGTCAACCTCACTGTCTCCGACATACCTACCCCTATATTACCTCACAGACTGAATCAATCCATCTCATTGAGAGTCTTCCTCTCCTGCACTTTCTCTCCACCTTCCCAAGCATGGCATCCCTCTCTAAGGACTGGTCCCTCCTTGTAACATGTCCAAAGTATGTCAGACATAGTTTCAGAATCCTTGCCTCCATGGAACAGCCTAATTTCACCCTCTCTAGGACATGCTTAGGAGGGTGGAGGGCAGGCGCAGGAGGAGAAGGCCCTCTGGGAGGTGGATTGATTTAGTGACTGGGGCAATCAGGATGAGTGTGTCGAAGACAATGAGATTGGCACGGGACAGAGCAGAGTTTAGAGCTGTTGTACATAGGGTCGCTATGAGTCGTAAGCAACTCAACGGCACATAACAACAACAAGGACAAACCTGTTTGTTCTCCTGTCAGTCCATGGCATTTTCAACACTCTTCTTCAGCGCCACAGCTCAAAGCCATCAATTCTCCATCTATCATCTCTAGTCATTGTCAGATCTCTGACGCATAACAAGCAAGTAATAGTGAAGACTAAGGCCTGGATCAGGCTCACCTTAGTCTCCATACTAACATAGTTGCTCTTAGGTACTCTGCAGAGGTCCCTGACAGTAGACTTTCCCAATGTAATTCATCTCTTGATTTCCTGGATGCTGGTACCAAGACTGATGATTGTGGAGCCAACCAAATTAAAACTGTTGACAATCTCAATCCCTTCACCATCCATAATGATGCTGCCAATTGGCCCAGTAGTGAAAAATCTTGTTTTCTTGATGTTGAACTTCAATCTGTATTGAAGGCTACCATCCTTGATCTTCTGCAGCAAATGCTTCAGTTTCCTCCTTAGTTTCACCAAGCAGGGTAATGTCATCTGCATAACACAGGTTGTTGAACCTTCCTCCAATCCTGATGCCTCTTTATACACCCCAGAGTCCCGATGATCTGCTCTGCACACAGATTGAAAAGGTATGGAGACAGAACACATTCCCAGTGTACGCCCTTCCTGATTTTGAACCATGCAGTGTCTCCTTGCTCTACTCTGACAACTGCCTCCTGGTCCAAGTATAGCTTTCTCATAAGCAAAATGAAATGTTCTGGGATTCTCATTCTTCTTAGAGTGAGCCACAGTTTGTTGTGATCCACACAGTCAAATGCCTTTGCATAGTCAATGAAACACAGATAGACATTCCTCTGATATTCTCTCGGCTTTCAGCCAAGATCCATTTAACATTAGCTATAATATCCCTAGTACCATGGGCTCTTCCAAACCCAGCCTGCACACAACAGTTCTCTGTTGATGTGCTGCTTCAGTCATTTTTGGATAATTTTCAGCAGAATCTTGCTTGAATGTGATATTAATGATACTGATCGATAATTTCCACACTCTGTTGGGTCACCTCTCTTTGGAATGGGACCAAACATAGATCTCTCCCAGTAAGTTGGCCAGGTGGTTCTCCAGATTCCTTGACACATCGTGGTGAGCACATCCAGGGCCAGTGTCTTTTTGTTGAAATATGTCAATTGGTATGCCATCAATTCCTGGAGCCTTGTTTTTTGCCAGTTCTTTCAGAGCAGCTTGAACTTCTTCCTTCATCACCACAGGCTCTTGCTCATATGTTGTTTCATGAAATTATTCTGTGTCAGCCAATTCCTTTTGGTACAATGACTCTGTATACTCCATCTTCTTTTATGTTTCTTGGATATTTTAATATTCTTTCCAAAGCATCCTTAAGTATTGTTACTCATGGTTTAAATTTGTTTTTCAACTCATTGAACTTAAGAAATGCTGAGCGAGTTCTGTCCTTCTGATTTTCTGACTCCAGCTCTTTTCCCATTTCATTATAGGATCTTGCTTTGTCGTCCCAAGTTGCCCTTTGAAATTTTCTGTTCAGCTCTTTAATGTCTTGATTTCTTCATTTAGTTTTGGCTTCTCGGTGCTCCAATGCAATATTGAGAGTCTCGTCTGACATCCATCTTGGTCTTTTTTCCTCTTCTGCCTTGGTAATGACCTTTTGCATTTTTCCTAGATTATATTCTTGATATCCTTCCACAACTCATTTGGTCTTCATTCATTGTTGTTCAAGGCCTCAAACCTGTTCCTGAGATAGTTTTGAAATTCAAGTGGTATAGACTTAAGATCCAGTTTTGGTTTCTATGGATTTGACTTCATTTTCTTCAACTTCAGCTTGAACTTGCCTATGAGTAGTTGGTAGTCTGTTCCATAATCAGCACCTGGCCTAGTTTTCAAAGTTGATATTGAGCTTCTCAAGCAATTCTTTCCACAGATGTAATCAGTCTGATTCCTGTGCGTATATACTGGTTTACTTTAAAAGCCTATATACATTGTTTTACATATCAAATCTTTCCCATTTCCTTAAACCACCCCTCCCTCTACCTATCAAATTGTGTAACCCTATGATTAACCAACCCCTCCACTGCCCAACCTCATCCCTCTGCTCCCAACTTACCCCCCTTGAATCTTCATACACATTCTAAAATAATGGTCTTATACAGTATTTGTCCTTACAGGACTGAGTTAGCTCACTTAGCATAATGCTTTCCAGTCCCTCCAAAGTTAGGTAGTGATTTACAAAATCATTGTTCCTGCATGCTGCGTAGTATTCCATCATATGAATGTATCATACTTTCTCAATCCATTTAATTGTGGTTGGATGTTTGGGCTGTTTCCATCTTCTTGTGATAGTGAATAATGCTGCTATGAATATTGGTGTTCAAATCTCCATTTTTGCCTCAGTTCTCATTTTTTCATGGTATATTCCAAGCAGTGGGATAGCTGGATCATGTGGAATTTCTATGATCAGCTTTTTGAGGAAATGCCAAACTGCCTTCTAGAGTGGTTATACCATTTTACAATCCCACCAAGAATGTATAAGAGTTCCTATCTCACCCATCCTCTCCAACATTTATTGCTTGCTGTCCTGTTAAGCTTTGCCACTGCTACTGGAATAATATGGTATTTCATTGTGGTTTTTATTTGCATCCCTCTTCTTGCCAGTGATTCTGAGTATTTCCTCATTGTGTCTGTTTGTCACCCAAATATCTTCCTCTGTGAAAATTCTTTCCATGTCTTTTGCCCATTTTGTAAGTGTGTTATCAGTCTTTTTCTTGTGGAGGTCCTGTGGGATTCTGTAAACTTTTGATATGAGATCCTTGTCTGAAACGGTATTGCCAAATCTTTTTTACCAGTCAGTAGGTTTCCTTTCACTCTGTTGGAAAAAGGTTCTGATGCACACATGGATTTAATCTTTAGAAGGTCCTATTCATCAATTTTATTCTCTCCATATTGTTAAATTCTGGCTGTATTTGCAGCCTCCTTATACTGTAGATGAGGCAATTTGAGCTTGATCCCAGTTTGTCTCTGATGAACTTTATAGCTTTGGGCTTTACTCCCAGGTCTCTGGTTTTTGTGTATATTGTGAGATGTGGATCCTGTTTCAGCTTTCTATAGGTAACAGTTTAGTTTACCAGCACCATTTGTTAAAGAGACTGTCATTTCCCCATTTTATAGGTTTTCTTTTCTTGTTGAATTGATGATAGATAGCTGGGTCCTTTTCTGGGTTCTCAATTCTATTCCATTGGTCTATGTGCTTGTTGTTGTACCAGTACCATGCTATTTTGGTTACTACCACTGTGGAGTAGTTTGGGGGTCTGGGAATACTATGCATCCCACTTCATTTTTGTTTTTCAGAAGTGCTTTGCTTATTCAGGGTCTTTTTCTTCTCCAGATAAACTTGACACTATCCCTTTTGATTTCTTTATAAAATGAAGTTGGTATCTGTATTGGTATTGTTTTGGACATGTAGATTGCTTTTGGTAGGATTGTAATTTTCACAATGTTGATTCTTCCTGTCCATGAACAGGGCACATTTCACCATTTATGTTGGTGTTTTATTGTGTCTCATAGAAATGTTCTGTAAGTTTTCTTCTTAAAGGTCTTTTGTGTCTCAAGTGAAATTCACTCCCAATTATCTCAATTTGTGGTTGATTAGTGTAAATAGTATTGCTTTCTTGGTTTCCTTCTCTAAGTTCTCTTTGTTACCGATTTTTTAATATTGATCTTATATCCTGACACTCTACTAAAATGGTCTGCTAGCTCTGATAGGTTTTGGTTGTCTTGTTGTTGTTGAAATCTTGGAGTTTTCTGTGTACACTATCATATCATCTGTATGTAGTGATAGTTTAGCCATCTCTTTGCTGTTCTAGATGCCCTTTATTTCCTTCTCTTGTCATATTGCCCTCACAAACACTTCCAATACAATACTGAATAGAAGTGGTGA